TAGAGGGAAGACCTTGTAAGTTCACAAACATTCAGAGCCATACACTAAAGATCATACAGATACACCTCAAATAAGTAACGTGAAGCATTTCATTCATAAAAGCATTTTAATACTCCTCCATTACAAAGGGTTATCCAAGCAGTACATGAAAAAAGGAGAACAGAGGGCCCATAAGAGTCTAATTCTACAGAGAAATAATTTCTCCATCTTTAACTGCTTGATCTAGCTGGATTTTCTCTCTGAAAATTGTCAAAGGGTGGTGAAAATGCTCCATTTGTTGCTAAGAATTTTCAAATCACTATGAAACCACCTCAAGGGTGGAACTCGTATAGTTAGTCGACTGCTAAGTCAACAAAACATTTGAAAATGCAAGAAATATAATTCTTTTTTAGCCGACCCCAAACTACTTTGAACAATAAACAAAGTTTGGTCCTTTAACACCACAGTCCTCACTATATAAGCCAATCGGTCTAAAAGAGAATCAACGAGCTTCAAGGGATGTAAAGCATTCTTTACTTTGGAAAGAGAGATAAAAGCTTTATTTACTTCATGCCAGTACCTATCCCTCTGAAGCTTTAGGTCACAAAGGATGTCCTTAATCATTTGCTTTTCAACACAATGTCAATCGGCCTAGAGAGCTTCCCAGGGACCAGATGCACCAAGGGCCAAAGCAGTTGAGGCACGTCGGGTATACCGAGCCAGAGTACCCCGTTATTCCTCCAGAACATACCTAAAAAGGTTAGCCAAATAAGCACAATCCTCATCCAAAGGAGGAGGTCAGCGAGTCTCAGAAAAATAGGAGTCAAATCCCATCAGTAAGGGGTAGGCAGTCAAGTTCAGAACCTTCGGTAAAGTCGACAAGGCCTCCATAGCAACGTCGCTCTTGACTGACCGTATTCCCACCTTAAAAGTTGGAATTGCTCTTCATTATCCATATATTCTACATAAAGTCATGAGTAAAGCAAATATATCAAATACTTAAAGATTAAAAATATCGAAAGTCCCGAAAGCCCCAAATCTTATCAAATATGGTTTTGTTCACATCCTGAGAGCAGACTCTTAATAGCAACAAAACATCAATAAGGCACTTTAAGTGTTTATTTTCGGTCTTTTCTACAAGAACACCTCCTCTGGTGTATCCCAAATTATTGACTAACTTTACTAATTAGTCTTTATAATATCGAGCCTCACCGGGAATAACCTTTTCATTGTATAAGCAAAGACGATTTCCCAGCCGAAAGTGACCCTCATTCCAATACTTGGAGAACAGATCTCCACATATGCCATCCCATCCATCATCGATGTCATAAGCTGCAACATGAGCTTCACGGCTGACGGGGGTTACCAAAAAGAACAGGTCCTTGAAGAATTGAAGCTCCATAAGAGGTATGACACCATGGATAGTCGACTCAAAGTATAGTAATCCTCTACCCTTAATCTGGGTCGCACGGTTACTAAGGCATCTGAAGAGATGAAAAAAGAAAATCACACAAGGATTTCCATTCACCTGCTCACACAAATATTAGTAGAATTTTACGTATGGCTAACATGTTGACTGAAGTTACAAAAAAGCTATGGCCAAATATTTCAAAACCTTTATCTCAAAAGCAGTAAGGGGAAAATGAAGGCCCATGGTAGAAAAAGTCCATTCATAGAAAGAAATGACACAAGCATCATACTTGTCACGTATTCTTTTGTCTTCAGAAGGACTCGTGATTCCCTCAATCAAAAGACGGGTCAAATTTCGTAAATGCATCGCCAAGACCACCTGTTATAGCAAAATCAAGCCATCTAGAAGGATGGTTGGCATCCGAGACTACAATATCAAGCCATCGCCTTCTTGTACCTCGGCAAGGGCTTGGGGGCAACTGTCTGGGCCGATCACATACACCTTAGATAACCACCAGAAAGGGGTCCCACTCTTTCCAGAATTTCCCTTGTGTACGAAGATTATCATCTTAATGATCACAAGGGATCTTAACTACAAATGTATCCAACAACTCTCCACAAATCACAACTAACAAATAACGAAGTTTGTTATCCCTCTCTATATATAGAAAATGCGCAAAATTGAGATAACAAATTTCAAATTCAGTTTCACTTCACTCTTCTTCCTCGTATAATAACATGGGTTCTATGTGGTGATTGGTGATTAATGAGATAGAAGATGTTGGTTTTGTTGAAGTGATATCTTTTTTTTCGAAATTTGTAGCCTCCCTTTGATGAGATGGCGTTGGATGAGTTAAAATAAGTATCAAGGACTATTTTATATGACTCTTTTTTCTCCACCGTTTGATTAAATTCTACAATATAGATTTATTATCATTGTCCATGACCTCAATTCTTTGCAATTTCTAAACCATATTAAGTTATTATTCGTAGTGTTATACTTAGTGATTTTCACGCACAATAGAGATTTGTGATATTCAAATCAACTCATACCATAATAAGATTTGTTGGTGGTGAGTGTGACTTAGAGATGTCACAAGATTTTCTAATGGATTGAGATCAATTTTTACATTTAGTAAAGAAACAAATTTGAGTTATGTCACTTAAAAAATGTTAAACTTTTTTTATATTTTTCTAATTTGGAAATAAATTCTCTTTATTATAATTTTCAAAACACTTCTCTCTTACTCTTCAACTTCAACCATCAAATTTGAAAGAAAAAACAAGAGATTGAGTTTGATAATTAAGATGTTGTAATTGAATAAAATAAAAAGATCACAAAATATAAATACTCCATTTTTTCTTCTATTCATAATTGATAAAGTTGAATTCAAAGTTCAAAGACATTAACAATATTAAATTTTCCTTTTTGGTGGGTCACTTTTGACTGCATTGATGTATAGTACTAGTAAGCTAGGGACCATTAGCCCAATTATTTAATAGTATTATATTGTGATAAGGCATGATTCTTGCACCTCTTGATGTGTGGTGTTCTTTCATGTTTTTCCAACTAAATAAAATTGCACTTTTCTTCCTCTCTTTCTTTCTCCACACTCTTTTCTGTCATAAAGAAAAAAACTTCCCAACTTTTCTATAACCAATTTTGAATTTTAGTAAGTTCCCAACTTTATAAATTTTCTTTACCAATCACTTCATTTTTCCACTTACACACCACTTTTTAGTCCTACTTTCTCTTCCTCTTCTCATTGCTTGCTTCTTCTCATAACCAAAGGAGGCAAAACCAAAAACATTAAAGTTTGCAACTTTCTGACACCATCTTTATAGCATTAATGTCTTAGTGTCTCAAAAATGCTTCTCTTGTATTGGTTACACTTAAAGTTTCAAACTTTAAGCTACCCCAAATAAACCCACTTTGAATTCAAGTTCCATTAGATTAGTTTCACCACAAAAAACAAAACAACAACAACAACAAAAAAAATCATTTTTTTTGTCTTTGGAATCTTGAGATTCTTTCCATGAACGAAGCTCAAACTGAAATCACAATTCCTCACTTGTTTAGATGCCCCATAAGTCTTGATTTGTTGGAAGATCCAGTGACTTTAACCACTGGCCAAACCTATGATAGATCAAGCATAGAGAAATGGATTTCCGCAGGTAATTTCACATGTCCTGTAACAATGCAGAAGCTTCATGATTTATCTTTTGTTCCTAATCACACTCTTCGCCATTTGATTAATCAATGGCTTCAGCTTGGTTCACAGTTTCATCACCCTTGTAATAATAATACTATCTCTGCAACCATAGATTACTTAGCTACAATAAAACACACCCTTGAATCTCATGATTCATCTTTAGAAACCAAGTTCAAAGCACTTGAGAAAATCAGTGTTCTTTCTGATGAGTATTGTTCTTTCAGAAAATCTTGCTTCCAACAACTTAGTTTCTTAGCTTTACTTTTGGAACTTGTTTTTGGTTTATCAGATTCACAACTCTCAGAAAATTTGGAGTTTGTGGAGGTAGCATTTTCTTGCATTGTTAAATTGTTGCCTATTGTAAATTTGGAGCCTCTAAATATCATCAAAGATGAATCAAAGTTAAAAAGTTGATATTTTTATTGAAAAAGGAACTAGTTCAATGAAGACTAGTTTGTGTCTTGTTATAGATTACTCAACAACAGCATCACAAACAGAAGAGGTTTGTGAAATACTAGGAAACTCACAAAAACTAGTCCATGAAATTGTTCAAGTTGTTGTTAACAAAAATTGTGATAATCTTTCTGAGGCTGCAATTAAGGCCTTATCAGCATTATGTTCATTGGAATCAAACAAAGAGAGTTTAGTGAAAGGAGGAGCAATAGATGGAATCATAAGATATATTTCAAGATGTGATACTACAAGACAGAAGAATTTGGCTCCACTTGCAATGACAACAATGATGAAGCTTTTGGTGTTGGAGAGTGGTAAAGAGGCATTGGTGAATCATGTGAATGGTATTGAAACATTGGTGAAGATGGTTTTTAAGGTATGTAATCAAGAGTGTAGTGAGAGTGCTGTTGGGATACTTTCAATTGTTTGTAGTGATTTTGGGAGTGCTAGAGAGGTAGCTATTGGAGCTGGTGTTTTGAGTCAGTTGTTGTTTCTTTTGCAGAGTCAGTGTGGTACTAAAACTAAAACTAAGGCAAGAATGTTGCTGAAGTTGTTGAGATCCAAGTGGACTGAGGAATCAATGCATTAGTTTTTGTTAAATGTACTCTTGTGAATAATAATACTACATGATTATTAATCAGTATTTGATTTCATGGGTTTGTGGGTATTGTTTTTGCTTTATTGAATGGTAATGAATTCTCATAATATGACATTATTGAATAATAATAATAATAATAATAATAATAATAATAATAATAATAATAATAATAATAATAATAATAATAATAATAATAATAATAATAATAATAATAATAATAATAATAATAATAATAATAATAATAATAATAATAATAATAATAATAATAATAATAATAATAATAATAATAATAATAATAATAATAATAATAATAATAATAATAATAATAAAATAATAATATAATAATAATAATAATAATAATAATAATAATAATAATAATAATAATAATAATAATAATAATAATAATAATAATAATAATAATAATAATAATAATAATAATAATAATAATAATAATAATAATAATAATAATAATAATAATAATAATAATAATAATAATAATAATAATAATAATAATAATAATAATAATAATAATAATAATAATAATAATAATAATAATAATAATAATAATAATAATAATAATAATAATAATAATAATAATAATAATAATAATAATAATAATAATAATAATAATAATAATAATAATAATAATAAATAATAATAATAATAATATAATAATAATAATAATAATAATAATAATAATAATAATAATAATAATAATAATAATAATAATAATAATAATAATAATAATAATAATAATAATAATAATAATAATAATAATAATAATAATAATAATAATAATAATAATAATAATAATAATAATAATAATAATAATAATAATAATAATAATAATAATAATAATAATAATAATAATAATAATAATAATAATAATAATAATAATAATAATAATAATAATAATAATAATAATAATAATAATAATAATAATAATAATAATAATAATAATAATAATAATAATAATAATAATAATAATAATAATAATAATAATAATAATAATAATAATAATAATAATAATAATATAATAATAATAATAATAATAATAATAATAATAATAATAATATAATAATAATAATAATATAATAATAATAATAATAATAATAATAATAATAATAATAATAATAATAATAATAATAATAATAATAATAATAATAATAATAATAATAATAATAATAATAATAATAATAATAATAATAATAATAATAATAATAATAATAATAATAATAATAATAATAATAATAATAATAATAATAATAATAATAATAATAATAATAATAATAATAATAATAATAATAATAATAATAATAATAATAATAATAATAATAATAATAATAATAATAATAATAATAATAATAATAATAATATTTTTTTTTGGGAATAACCATGTATTAAAAAAAAATCGCAAATAACAATGTTTCAGATGACTCCCCAAAGGAGGAGCCACCTCCTTGGCGCCTACACCTACTTTTTAAGGGGAGGCGCCATCTCACTTGGCGCATAGGTGCTTAGGGCTTGCCATAAGCCAAGTGAGATGACGCCTTAGTGCATTTGCTAGGGGAATTTTCGCGTTTTTTTTTCAATGCGGTGCGTTACGTATCGATATAGGATCAACAAAATTGACTTTTTATTTACAAAATATGATTACACACATAACTATTACATAAAATAAAATAAAAAACAGATTAATCAATGGTCCCCCCGGAACCCGGTAATGACCCCCGGTTCCGCATCCCCGTCCTCGGCTTTCCCATGCTGGGTTTCGTCGTGTTTCCTGCTGTGGCAGGGTCGATGGCCCAGCGAAGTCAATGCGTTCCGGATCCATGAAATCAGTCAGATCTCCATATTTAGAAGGCCCGCTTTGGTACAGTCGGTTACCCATACCCTCAAAGTTTGGTCGTGTTGGCGGTGAGTGGGGTTCCATGGTTGGTCTGTAGCACTGGTCGTCTGAGTACGGGGGGTAGAAAGGAAATGGATCTTGGGGTATTTGGTATTAAGGATGTTGGGTGGTTTGGTGATATTGTGGTTGATGGTAAGTTGGGTCGGTTGGTTCATAATCTTCTGACATTCCCAGATCAGGGCTAAGGTTGGATGTTGAGGGGCCCATATTGGGATATGCAGAAGACTGAAATTGTGTGTGGGGTATGCGGGTGTGTTGGTATTGTGATTGGAATTGCGGTTGGGTGTGAGGCATATGAGGGTATTGGTACTGAGGTGGTGATTGTGGTTGGTTGTGGGGCATGTGGGTGTAATTGTATTGTAATGGTGACTGTGGTTGGGTGTTTGTGGTTTTGTTTCGTCTGGGGGTTGGTGGGAGGTTGATGTGTGTTGGGTTTGTTGTTGGGGAAATGAGGTTGTGCCCATTGTGTTCGTGGGTCAACCAAATACCTTGGATGAGACACGTGCATTTCAGGTGTACTAACCGATCTGTATCAAGATAAATATTGATCCGTGTGTCGCATATTACCATGGTTGAGGAAAACTGGGAATTGCAAGACATGTCGGTGACGCCTCTGTCACATCTTACACCATTCTGGAGCAAAGTATTTCCATTTGGTAAGACCCCATTGGGTGTCGACCCTTTTGAGATGCCACGGAGACAAACAAGTCGGATCGCTGGGTATCTCTTGATGCATTCCAAAATGCATCTTCACACGGTCGCTGTGGTGCATCTCCACAACATTGAACCGTATGATTGCAGTCTTTGTGCTCCAAATTGTTGCATCCTCGGGGTTTGGTTCATGGCACATACCCAAATATAGTCTCCAGACAAACTGCAGATAAAATTAAATCAGGTTAATGAAAACGTAATATATAAATAATTTAAAAGTAGAAAAGTTGAAAGGTACGACGTACATCATCCGGGCCAAGGTGATCCAAAAGATTGCGGTATAGTGCAATATTGAATCTTGGATTATTGCCGTAATCCATACCCCTCACGCAATACCTAAAGGAAATGAAAAATATTTTATTTTTATCATATATTTGGTGAAGAGATGAATAGTAATAAATGATATAACTTGATGAGTTACTTTGTTGCGTATGGGAAAACGAATGTGTTGTTGTTAACGGGGTTTATGGACTCCATCCTCCACCAACCCCATGCTTGAAGTAAAAAAGTGCAGTCATAAAATGTGTATTTTTCCTTGATTGCATTTTTACACAAGAAACTGTATAGGTGGTCTAAAACAGCAGAACCCCAACTATACTTTCTAGTTTTTTCGAAGTCTCTAAGTAAATTTAAATACATAAAATTTACACTATTTCCCGTACTTTCAGGAAATAAAAAGGTTCCAAATAGTATCATTATATAAGTTCTAGCTTTTATTACCTTGGCTAGCTCGGAGAATTTTCGTTTAATTCCAGAGTCGCATAATAATTTTTTAGCTCAGTTAGTAATATACCCTGACCTCTCGCACCACCACCTTCAACCATATCCCATGCCCAACAATTCTTCACACAGAGAATTGGGTTGTTGAACCGACCCGTTAACGGCCTTACCATCGACAGGGAGACCCAATAACATGTACACGTCCTCTAGTGTGACGGTACATTCACCTATTGGTAGGTGAAATGTATGGGTCTCTGGTCTCCACCTTTCCAACATTGCAAGTATAAACTTTGAATCAATTGTGCAGTTGGAGATCTTTATAACATTTCCGAAACCTGCGTATTCCAGATATGGTACAATCAATGGGTCGGGAGCAAGGTAGTTGTGTGACCGGATTCTGAATTTTTTGGTATCCTAAGTTAATAATGTAAAAGGTGTAAGAGTAAGTAAGATGAACAAAGCATTACTAGAAGTATGAAAATGTATAACTATAAAAGAAACTTACAAATGCTGCAATGTTGTCCCTTGTGCCTCTGTGAGAATCGTCCATTGTGAGAAGAGTCATTGTTGAAAATGCCTAAGATTATGAAAGAGTTTGAAATTGTAAGAGATTATGAAAGAGTTTGTAGCATAGAGTGAGACGATTGTGGATGCGAGAGAAGTCTGTAATGCTCTGTATTTATAGGCAATTTTTTTTATAGAGTAAGTGAGGTGGTAGGTGGGTGCATGCATGCATGATAAGTGTCACTTTTGCAGTGTAAGTGCAGGCTATGTGGCAGCCTTGGAGAAGGCATTTATGGCATGCATGTAACACGATTGGACATGCAGGGAGGCGCCATTGAACTTGGCGAAAGAGTACAAAAATGAAAGGTGCCGCCATCCCCATTGGCGAATAAGAGGTGGCATGGGTTGCAGAGTAGGCGCAGGCTAGTGACAGCCTTGGAGAAGGCATCTCTGAGTGCATGTAACACTATTGGACGTGATGGGAGGAGCCTTAGAGGTTACAGTGTAGGTGCAGAGTAGGCGCGGGCTAGGTGGCAGCCTTGGAGAAGGCATCTCTGAATGCATGTAACACTATTGGATAACCTTGGTTAATTCAAATTCAGTATGACCTATTTAGTCTTACATTTATCAAAACACTGATTCACTTAATCTCTCAAACACTACAACATTAAAAAATTCCTGTAAATAACTCATAAACTTCAAAACTTCCAACCTTCAAACCTTCAAACAGTCATACACAATGGCCTCTGCACCCCAATATGTCATCAGTGCATATTTCAACGGTGAGACATACATTTGTCCCACCTCTGGGTTTTTGTTTAGAGACACAGACAACATCTGATTTTTTTTAAACAGGAAAGCCAATTTCTTGTACTTCAAAAAACGATTGGAGGCCAAACTTGGACGAGGCCCTGTGACACAAATATTTTATCAGAATCCGTTTTTTTTTGTAACAACCAAATTATATTTTATAAGGTTGAGGTTAAAGATGACGAGGATCTTCAGAATATGTTTTCCAGTCATGAGTATTCTGGGTACGACTCTATTGAGTTGTACATTATGCTGTGAGAGCCTCAGCTGTCACAAGTGGTTGATTCTTTAGAGACCGAACAAGCAGAAGTAGATGCAGTTGATGAAGAAGAAGATG